ATATATTTTGAACTACAAATAAACCAATCACTTATTTTAAAGTATTGCCAATCATATCCAAAAACGTTTTGATCAACGGAGGTCAGGAATTTTAACCAGTGGTGGATAAATATCTACCTATGTCCTCGATAGCTACAAAGATATTGGATAATAATGGGTTCATCTACCGAAATGATTGGTTAACAATGAAAAAAATGATTTTATGAAATTAGATCTTCGCAATGGTCACTTTGAATCATAGAATCAGAAACAAACATACACCTGAAAAATCTATATAAACCTAACAAGTTCTGGTAAGATTGTTATACTATTTTGAACGGAAAGATGAGGTGAGTGTTGACTGAACACACGAAGTTATTGTATGTACTATATGAATTTCGGTCTGATTCAACGAGATAACATTGTTTTGTTCATATCAACCATTTTAGATATACTTCTCTATCTGGTCTGTTGATACCGGTTTATTTGGTTGTCATCGTGCTTTCCAAATTCTCCGACTGTCAGGATATCTGCGGAAAACCTGGATTAGTGACAGATGAAAAAGTGATTTTGGAAAACAGTTCATATAAATATGTAAGTATACAGTCAGATTCTAATGCACATACACAGTCTCATCATTATTATTACTCACGAAGAATACGTCATAATCAGCCGTATCCAGTTGTGAGTGACGGTTTTAAAAACTTTAGTACCACTCAGGTGAGTTGACTACATTTTGTAATAGAACTACTAATTCTTATGTTTTCATCTTTTAAGAATGTTACACCGAAATTTTCGTTTAAATATTACGGTTTAAACGTCACTAGACTTGAGATTTTTCATGATGGTAAGATAATTTTTTTTCTTTCACTTAAAAATTGTTATTGAATTTTGTTAATCCCAATTCATTCCATAAATCAAATTTGCTAGAATTTCTTCAATGAAACAGTTTTATGCTTTTTTTAAACATTCAAAACTTTTGATGGATTCCATTTCTTCTTGTTGAACTTATCAAACGTTCCATGTCTGATAGCAAATTAATTCCAGTTCATTTCAAAATATTTCATTCATTCACTATAGAATTTCAATCAAATTGTATGTTTTCATTAAATTAAGGGAAAATAAAAATATTCGGAGAAGAATACATCGGAACGATAAATAATACTGCTGTAGGCAATTTTTATCCTGAATATGAGATGGTAGATAACAGTGAGTTTTCCTATTAACCCATAATGTTTTCTTTTGTTTGTTCTCACACACTTGTTGTGCATATATGGTTCAGTATTTAGCTTGATTATTACACGAAAGCTGACCATTTCACAATGATTATATTGTTTCTGTGATTTGGTACCAGAACATGTGTTCACAGTACGTATTCATTACTGTCAAGTTAAAATATCAAATAAACACAGGGATTCACTACAAAATAAACACAAATCGATTCAGTAGAAATTATAAACCAATTGATGTGGTTGCTGAGTGAAAATGAGCTGTTATCCAGTCTATTTAAACAACAATGCGAAAGATGTCTCACCGACGCGATACCTCTTTCTAGATTAAATGAATCAAATTGATCGCAAGTGCAACACTAAGCAATGTTGTTCAACAGGTCAGTTTGAGTGATTAACTTTATGAACTGTCAAATTATACTTGACGTCTTCCAACTCTTTTCTGACACTTAGTTGATTCATGAAAGTTAAATATCTCTTAGTCGCTATCCGTGGACCATTGCATGTTTAACACTTTTTAGATTATCCTGTTTATAAAATAATGACATTAAAACCCACGCCCTTCCTTACACAATCAGTCAACGAATGATGATTGTTCATTTAAATGTACCAGTTCACTTAAATCTCGGAAGGAAGGAAGGAAGGAAGGTGATAACTCGTCTGCCAATACATTTTTTGTTAGAATGTATATTTATTAAAAGAGGTAGATATTCATTATGCAGATATACAAATATCTTTTCGATTTTCATTTTTTTCAGATGATTTCATTGCTGTCAAATGGTCTTATGAGATATTGGTTAACGGTACAAGTAAGCGAACATTGTATGGTCATTTGATATCATATGAAATATTAACACTTAAAACTACTCATCGTGTTTGCTCACACCTGCCTGTTCAGTTTGTGTAATTCAATTTTTCCCAATGACTGACAGAAGTAGGAATACATAACGCTTTTGCAAAATGAGAGTGGACTTGTACGTGGAATCCATTGATCAATTAATCACAATGATTAGGACTCGAAGAACAGTTAACATAGACTGAAAGAGACTAGACTTGACGAGTAATAAATGGATGAATGAAGTTACAATCCCATCTCACATGCGGAAACACTAATGCACAGATTCATCATCGTTGACTGGCTTCAATGGAGCTTGATGTGAAGTCTGTTTATTGTAACAAATAAATTGTGTTATATGTTCGTCCCAAAGTCATTTTCTGCACGCACCACATTCATCGACACAGTCACTCACCACATAGTCATTCCTAAATATTACCCGATAAAATCGGTAAATCCTTAGGACAATATGTCTGAAACTATTTACTTCACATCTTCAACAAATAAATCTGTGTTGTTTGTAAACGCCATGGTCGGAGTCAGTCGATTGATCGATTTACCAACGTGTTTAATGAGCAATTAAATTCTCAAGTTCCGTTTGTGAACAAACACTCCACAACACAAGTCATGTGTTCTTAGGGTCGATTGATCTGGCAGTAATGATAGAAAATATTGTGCATGATTGTATACTTTTCGGGTTCCGAAGACTAAACAGCTGACATTCATTTTGAATAAATTGTGTTCGTATGATTTGCATGAGGTCCATTTGATATTCTTCATAACGAATTCAATGAAGAGAAACATTTGAGATAACACGGTATGTGTTTGCTTAAATTGGATATTTTTTGTAAGTAGGCATATACAGTGTCAGACCTAACAGTAAAAAGCTCAGCATCATTCCCTAAGAATTCTAAATATCAATAGTCTTTTGTTTGCAGGTACTATAGCCAAGGTAACTACTGTGATATATTCCAATGGGAAGATATCCTTCTATTATGAGAACGTAAGTTGTACAATTGAATTGAAATAAAATTTTGTTTCAAGTACTATAGATTAACCCACTCTTTCTTCAGTATCAATAATGTCAAATGCATCAAGATACATTGAATACGACAAAAAGAGATCAACTTTTGTAATGTGCAAACAGACTATTATTAATCATTTAATGACACACACTTTAATGTACTACTTGCAAAAAACAGTGAATAATTAGAAGTGGAGAGTCATCAAAAGAAACGACGATGTCTCCGCGACAGATAGGAATAAACAGTGTACTGTAGAGTACAGCACGGAAACAGTCATATTATGATAAGATTTATTTCGTCTTCTGGAGATAAGCTGTTCGGAAAGTACATTACAGAATATTCTGAGGGATTTAGTGTTTAAATTGTTGATCGTTTCACAGTGTGTATATTTTTGAATGCCAGTGTTTGATACTTCCAATATTTCTTTTCAGATTCCCACGGGACTCAAGCAAAGTCCACTGAGCTCTAAGATTGTAGGTGTAATTCAGTGTGGAGAAAAGTTGAAAGGTAACAATTATTGCTGATATTTTGATGTAGAGTAACCCCGTCAACAGTTTTCTGTTAACGTAATATCACATTCCATTCGTACACGGTTATCTGCATGTTAACATAGTAACCTGCTGTTTTCGCTCACAGTGATCATATATAACTGTATTACAGTCTACAATGATTAGTTGATTTGAATGTAAGACAAATCGATCGAAGTGCAATTAAAGTGTCGATAATAATCGTGAGGGATAAAGTCGAAATACTTTTCGTAAAATCACTGTATACTGGATATTCAACGTCAATTATATGTTTACAATTCTTGAATGGAATTTTTGTAGTTACACTCGATAAAAAATCTTAGTGAAACCCAATAATGAAAATGTCTAATGTCTTTGGAACAATGGAACACTGTATTGAAATCAAAGTACATGTGTTTTTAATTCAACAACGGTCATCCTTATCACTGTAACAAATTAGATTTGAGTTGTTGTGATGAAATTGTAATGGTTCTGTTTCAGTCTTTTGTGATAAATTACACAGACAATGAATTTTGTGATCCACATTTTCTGACGTTTTCTTAACCTAATATTCCGAGTGATAGAACCATGATGTGTGAATATCATTACAGTAAAACTGTGGATAGCTATTGGAGAATGCTTACACATACATTTAACGACGGACTGATCCAGACAGGGATATATGAACGACAATATTTGACAGACCATATATCCACTCATTTATTCACTTGCTCACTCACTCACTCACTCACTCACTCACTCACTCACTCACTCACTCACTCACTCACTCACTCACTCACTCATTCACTCACAGAACAAACGGTCCCACTTGTAGTCCTCAGTCATATCACTACTCAAACAGAAACAAACGAGTGATACTTGTAACTGATAGTTGTTTTATACAATGCTCAACCTTCATGCCATACTGAAGTGATCATGTGTTGTCTTAAGATCAAGCTGAGTTTCAAGATAAGTGTTTAGTGAAAGCGATTCAGTGGGATACAGTGTTTTGTCATTAAATGTGAGACAATGCACTAAATATTTGGTCAAAAGGTATACATTGATCGGTTGAAATATGTTACTTAGTCTTTAACAATAAATCTCAATGTTGACTATGTGTAATTTGAAATGTCGAAAGAATTGTACTGAGTTGAACATGTTTCTTGAAGATGTTGCACTGAGAATGTTTTAAAATGAATCAGAAATTCAATATTATCATTTTTCATTTATTAGTTAAACACTGGCCACTTTCCATATCAGTAATGATGTAAAGCATGTTTTGTGAGGATTTTGTATGAAAAACAGTCTATCTGTAATCAGAAATTTTTAAGTCTTAATTTTACGGTACATGAAATGATGAAACGAATTGTTATTTAATTAACGAGCAATCAAAATTTTAAGTGTTTTTTTTTAAAATGTATTTCAGATGTGAGAAAACTTGAAATAATCACTCCTGGAGAATGGATGACAAGTGACACGTCAGTGAGATTTAAACTTATTAAGAGTATGTGAAACCTTATCTAATCCGCACTTGAATATATCACTTCTGTTTCATCATATTATAAATTCCAAGTGTAATTTTATTTAGCCATTTAACGATATCCAGTATTGTTTCTCTGTTGACGCTTCCCTTGCTATTATTAATTGCATGTCGATGTGCTGTTGAATATTCAACATGATTAAGGACTCAACTTGAACTGCTACAGAAGTCTTCACTTCCATGAAATTTACATAGAAATCACTCCACAAAACGATGGATGAGATGATTTAATCCTTGAAAACGTTTATCGTCTGTTGGTAGATTGTGTATTATCGAGGAGGTGTTCGTTAGTTTTTCATTCAATATATACGATATCGATTGATGATAAAACTGATATCACTTACACACTTTGTTATTCACGTATCTTTTGTTTGATAACTTGAAATGCCGTCTCCCTAATTTTTTCACAGTAAGTTGTTCAATACACAATTCCTTTGAAAAATGCCAAAATGCGAGAACGTCAGGTGCGAAATGTATCTGGTATGAAAAAGATAATATGTGCATTAACAGCGATGATAATGATGTTAAAGTAAGTAATTGTTAAGATTCATAGATTGTTTACAACATTGCTATATTCCACATTGTACATCCGATTACTCGGAAGAAAATTTTATTACAACGAATACGGTTTGATTTCATGGTAACAACAAACGATGAACAGAAACGTTGTTTAACACAAATGCATGAAGTCATATTAATTTTTGAGCTCAATGAAGCTTGTAGTGACTTCAGAAATCCAGTATGTAATCGTATATCTATGTGAATTGTCATGAATCATCAATGAAATCGATTTGAGTGATGAAGCGTATTCCGTTGGAAATTGTATATTATGTTTGGATAATTAGTTAAAGTTTGTAGACTCTAGTTATTAAAGCGTAGAACAAAGGAATCACTGAAATTCACATTGAAGAAAAATTTCGGAAAAAATACTGCAAAAACTGAACCTTATTCGGTGAATATTTGATATTCAATATTAATGCTACTGTTTCGTTTTTTTCTTTCAGAACACCATTTCACAAATAAATGGACACAGTAAACATAATGACACACCTCGTTACTTGTATATCGTGATACCAGTAATTGTCGCTTTCTGTATCATATGCATCGGATGTGTTATTTGGATGTATAAGAGAAAGAAGAGTAATCCATGAACTCCAGAAACGTCTTATAGTTTGTTTTGATTATTTTGATCAAGTTGTTTTATTCTGTATTTCATCCGGAAACTTCTTTACATTTTTTTTTAACCGTTTCAATTATTTGAACAAGTTTTATACAATTTTATGTTTGTTAACGTATCGACTGAAGTAATTCTGCTGAATTATATTATAAGAGTTTTACAGTATTTATTTTAGAAATTAACAGTATGCTGAATATGTGATTTTGTGATCATTGCAATCAATAATGAATCCGTTGTGAATGTTCATTTTGATGTAGTCTCACCATGGGACGATCATTGTTATAAACTGTTCAGTCAAAATACCATACTAGTTGAGCGTATACTCACGTAAGACTGAAGAACAGTATGGATTGAATAAAGTAGTAACAGTCCGACCGTAGCATTGCTAAGATGAAAGATTTGAAAACCAAACACTATGGTGTTTCTACTAGTTGATGATCACTTCATTATACACTATTTATTTAATAATTATTCTCACTCACACGTAATTATGAGAAAGGATATTGCAAATATTCATTTGTATTGTTTGGTTGATTCTTCCCGTTGATGTTTAGGACTGCAATTGATCAGTCGTTCATCGTGTGGGTGTGACCTCAAACTTACCATTACGTTGCGTGTAATGTAAACGGAGATGAATGATGGCTAGCAGTGGAATGCAAGACACGCGTCCCATTGTCATATTTGAGACTCGTCAGCTGGATGTGCCTGCATCACACAGTTGATGTTCACTCCCATACTTGAACTCAATACCGTTCACTGCAAACATCGTCGCGTCATCTACTTAGCGTCTAAGTTTAGATACACACTGGTTTTTACAAACAAATCGTTCAATCACTTATGTACTGCATCTCGAAGACTATAAGGAATTATTCGTGTTTTAAGAAAGACTGGATCACCCTCCATCGCACTTATCACACACAGCTATCAAATCTTTAAGTAAAGCATCAGAATTTTCTTTGGAAACTAGTAAAGACAACTCCACTTTAACCTTTTCAAATTTTTTTAGACCCAGTATTCACAGTCATGTATGGCTAAATTCATATCTTATTAGCAGTTCACAGCATCCTCGTGTGGACAGTCTACGTACAGTAATCCCCTATATTGAGACTTTATTGGGTCGCACCACAACGTTAGGATCTAACAGTTTCACGTTCTTGAATCAAACAATGTTCTCTATACTACCTGTGTCCATAATAAATACATGCAATGAACCATGGGGTAACATATAAACGCTTTTGAATATGAGCATTATCGTTCAAATTGGTAGATAACGATAAAGCATCATTGGTAACAGCCGAATTAATGGGACCAAAATTACAAGGTTTAGTTCTGTTTTTGACGATGACCATAGCAGATATTTCAGGTAAGGCTCAGTGAAAAATTGTGAAAGATATCATAGGTTGAAAAGCCATCTTTCAAAATTGACCCGATAGCCAGTGTCATCTGAGGTTTGAGAATGAATTCATCCAGATTATTTTGGTCCATTTCTCGATAAACACTACACACTTGCGATCACTGATTCTCTGAGGTGCATGAAGCTTTCTCGCAATTGATGATTTATTTTGTAAGTTAATATTCTTCGCCTAATTTGAAATCCAAATACATTACATCTAGATTTGCTTATTATGCCCTCCTTGATTTAGTATTGGACTATATGTAACCACAAAAGCGTTACTAGTCAGTATTCCGAATTCCGTTATTTGTGATCATCACACACAAACACTCACTGCGTGTTTGCTCAGAATATTAGAGAACTGAGTGGTATCAACATATAGGTGGCTGATATACTTGTTTATGGAATAATGCACAGTTCTTATCAATCATTAATGTTCTCCAATTGTCAAATACACTTCTAATTCTGTTGATGTGTGATGAAGTTTATCTTATCCAACCAGTTATCAAAATCATATTTTAAAATCTTTTTCGCTTTCAATTTAAGGCGTGAACAACAAAGACTGTCATTAATAAATGTGAATTTAAGGAATAGGCATAAAAGAAATGACTAATTGCAGAATTTAATAATTATGTGAAGTTTTGTCAAACCACGTGTAAACAAATATTTGCGGTTCATTGTGACCGATCACTTTTAGACGAATTCCAGTCCATGCACGACACCTTTTAGAAGCACTTTATAGAATAAGAATCCTGAATTGAATAAGATGAAAGTACACCTGGAAGTGTTTAGTACCGAAACCAGTGTTAAAATTGTTACTAGAGATTTACCAAACGAAAATAGGCTCTCCTACATTAGATCTTACCCATCTTATCATCGAGAAGTATTCAGTTTATAGGAATGCTTTTATGTTATAACAACTTGCTATTGGATTATAACATTAACATTTGGACGTGATAACTTTATTGCCATTTTTGAGTTAATCTATTTTTTCGTCCACCACAAGTGTAATCGATGTCATAGAATATCAAATATGAGAAAAAACGTTCTGTTATCTGAATGTCATGTGTAAAATACTAACAAAAAAGAACTTAACATTAATATAACAAATAAATGCTTATATATATATATTCATTCAATCACACTGTATGGCTCATCCTTGCAGAAGTGGTTATTCTGTATAACTCGTCTTTAATCATAGTGATTATATTATTCTATATTTAGCCTAAATGTGTTCTTTACAAGCGCCAAACGTTAGATCGTGCATTGTTACTATACGGCCAGTCAGAGTAGACAATGATGTGACTTCCATGTAAGATTATATAGATTAGGCAGTCACATCATGACATATCCACAATTTTAGGATTCGGTCTATTATTGTAATGGTACCAACACAAATTAGATCATAATTCCACACACTGTGTAACTTAACTGAACAAACCACATGTCACCGTCACATTACACGTTCAGCATAACCCAAATGTGACTGATAGACTAGATTGAACACAAGAAATCAATCTATTCCACGGTTGAACATACAATTATCTAATACGTCATATGTAAGTGGTTATAACATTTTTCTCCACCTTTTCAATTATGTACAACAAAGACTATTAGGCTATACATCGTTTACTGCCTAACAACATTGAGCGAATATTTATCCAAGATATGAGTCTAATTGATATGAACATTCCAATCCCTCAACGGACATCCATTGTTCTTCTTGCGTTGTGTGGTAGGTTTTACGAATTAAACGTAGACCTCATGCAGACAAAATAGGATAATCAGTAGGATAAAAGATAAAACGATAAGGAACTGAAATACGAAAACAAAAATGAAATAACGACGAGTTTTCTGAGTGACAACTTAAGGAAGATGGGCAAATTGTGTATTTAGTGTATTGTTTACAAATGATGAAATGTTTTGCTCTAAAAAAGTTTTCGTTCATAACAGATGTTATATTGGTAGTTTTGATGGTAGTAGAAGTTCCAGTAGTGGTTTATTTGGTGCAAGTAGTATAATGCGTAGTAATATTATTAGTTTTGTTACTGCTTTTAGTGATATGAGTATTAGAAGTATTAGTAATGATAGTAATATTACTGGTATCGTCAGTAGTATTATTATTGATAGTCGTAGTAGTAGTGTGAGTTGTTGTAATTGTATTAGCATTGTTACTTTTAATTATTGCACTTGTTTAAGTAGTAATGATAGCGCCAATTTTAGTAGTGTCAGTAGATGTAGTGGTTGTAGTAACAGTATAAGTGGGACTATTGGTTTTGGTAGTTTTACGATTGTTATAAGCAGTAGCATCGTGATGTGTGCTACTGATATCGACGGATATAAGTTTTATGTATCACCAATCGAAAGTGAAATGCCTGTAGTCTGAAGGTTGGAGTCATTGAATAGAAGAGAACGAGAACAGTGATTGATTGTTGTGGAGATAAAAGAACTATAAATTCTGAGACAATTGATTTACATTTTGCAAATGAAGAAGTTACTGTATGGTTCTAAGAATTTACCAAGAAATTATGTAACGTTGTATCAAAATACATTTGGTTGTCCCCACCTGCGTTCACGTTCACTACAGAAGTAGTAATGGTCCAAATGTTAGCAATATGGAAAGGGTCTATATATGTTGAGTGTTATTAAAAGGCATCTGCATAACAGATATACATAGGCCTCATAGTCTATTTGCACTTTGTGATGTTCTGGCGATCCGAACTTGGTTTACGACTGATCTCTAGGAGTTCTGCCTACACCGTGCTTTTGATGTTCGTAAACTCTACTCACAATCAAAGGCCGGGTGATAACTTTGAAGTCGCGTTCCACTTCCTACTATTTATAAGGAATCTTATCAGTAGCGTGCTCTATTGTAGTAGTGGAAGTTGTAGTATTGGTGTGATGGACACTACCTGTGCTAGCTGATATGAGTAATATTTAATACAAATCAAAAATAAAATGTCTGGCAACAGAATAATGTGAAAATCGAGTTGAAGAGAACGTATATACAATAAGGAGTAATTGTAACGAAAAAGAACTAAGGAACCATGACGTTTACGAGGGACAACTGACGGAAGATGTACGAATGAAGAATTTCATGTACGGTTTTCATATTTTAAGAAGACACTGTGATTTCGCATTTAAAATTAAATTGGTTGGCCTCACCATGTCTTCGTTCACTGTAGTAATAATAATAATAATAATAATAGTGGAAGCGGCAATAATGTCATTGGTATTATTATGAATAATTGTATCTTTGTATTATGATCATTACTGGTAAGCGGTTTATTTATGGCACGAATGGTAGAATTTGTAGAAATAGCAACAATGATAATAAATCTAATGATGGTATCGGCAGATGTATTGATAATAGTCAGTATAGGATTGCGTAGTTTGTCGAGTTTCATTTCAGAAGAGCCAATCAAAGTAAGAGATAATTTTCTGAGTTCGATTGGGATGCCGTGATCATTGTAGTTGATGTGTGTCTTGTATGGGCCAGTTACTCACCTAAGAAAAT